GGGCCATAAGGAACTGGGCCTCGTCGGGGCCCAGCGACCAGTCGCCCCTTTGGGATCTGAGCCGAGAATCTGTGCGGGACCCTCTGCCCTACGGCGCCCGGGTCGCTGCGGGCCCCACCCAGGGGCCGGTCTCAGCGGCTGCCCGGAGCAGTAAACTGAACTCGCTCAGCCTTTCTGCCTCCCTCTCTCTTCCCTGCGGCCGGCCGGTCTCAGAAGTCGGGACAAAACATTTACTTAGAGTCTGAGGCAAACAGAAAAAGGGGGGAGGGAGGAGAAGGGGGGGCCTTAGAGATAGAGAGTTCTGGACAATTCCTGAAGACTTCCGTCGCTAATGACTCTGATGCTCACTGGGCTGGAGGCAACTTGAGATTTCTGCAGTGGCGAGGTCACGGGAAGGGGGGAGCTTCAAGAACCCCGGCCCCAGCAGGCCGCCTCCAGCTCTCTGGTCTCTCCTGCTGGGGCCGGACAAGTCCCCAGGTGGGGGAGACCACAGTGTGCCAAGCCTGGGGCTGGCCTTGTCGCCAGCTGCTTCGAGGGCCCCGGAGCCGCCGGCTCGCCATTTTGCAAAGGCTGCTGGGTCACAGAGGGGTGTGTGGGGAGCTCCAAGGTCAGACAGGGGCCTCCTGAAGCGGCCAGACCCCACCCCGCCGCCCGGGCCCCCCGCGGCCTCGCACGGACCACACCCTCGTCCTGACAGGTCTTGCTGTGCCGTCTCAGCGGGAGTCATGCTCTCCGAGTGGGTCGGCTCCCGCATGACCGCTGCCCAAGGTCAGTCCAGACACCAAGGCCAAACTCACTTTAATAATAAAAGGGCACCGGGCCCCCTGGGGGCGCAGGGGTGAAGCCTCAGCTCGATCAAGCTGTCTCCAGCCCCCGCAGCACGAGTCCATCCCCACCCAGGGAGGGACCCCCAGGGCGCTGCAGACCCCTCCTGTCACCCCACTGCACCCCTCAGCAGTGTGGTTCAGTGGATCCCCCTGTTCTGCTCCCCACTCTGTCTCTGGGGAGTCCTCCGGCCCGCACCCCCGTTCTTGTGTGCATAAACAAATAAAATACATCTTTTTTAAAATAAAAGGCACCCAGTGTGGCTGAGGCTTTATCCTGGAACCTGACATACAATGAGCACGGTCGGTTTTCACACTCGTATTCCACAGTGCTGCACGCGCACATGTGATCCGGCCGCAGAGGCCTGGGACGCCCTGAGGCTCAAGGGTACCTGCAGATTCTCAGACAGAATGACTCGAACGCCGGCTGGCTTCTGGCAGCATGTGCCCCGCCGGCCTGGCGAACGTACTGGCTGTGTGAATGGCAAGGACCCTCCATCCCACGAACGCGGAGGGTGCTGTGCCCTGAGCCTTTCTGTCTCCAGCTCCCTTCAGCTGCTGACGAGCCAAAGCCCAGCGTGACGGTGGCAGGCGGCGGGGCCCTCGGGGGTGCTTCGGCCGCGAAGCGGACCCTCCTCACACTCGCCGTCGCGTGAGGGCGTAAGACGTTGCGAAGCCAGGCAGAGGCCCTGCCCGACTGTGCCGGTGCCCATGCGCACTGGGGTGACCACGGCAGTTCCAGCGTGCGCAGAAGCCGCAACGACGCCGGGCCAGCACAGGCCGGGCAGTGTGGCCAGTCGGGCGTGAGTCAGGCTCCAGGACAGACGAGGGGAAGTGCATTGTGGGCAGAGGGCGCTGCGCACAGGGTCTGAGGGCGCGGAAGCCTGTGGCGCAGCGAGGAACTTGGGCTGGGCACTGAGGGCCCATTCTAACACCGGCCAGCCGCGGACGAGGTCGGCGCGGGTGACGTGGCGACGAGGGGCAGGCGCTGCTCTGTCTCGGGACCAGGTTTCTGCACCACAAGGCGGCCAGCGACACCCCTGGCCTCCACTGGCCGGCCGCCAGTAGCAGCCCTCACACATGCGGCACAGACAAAGCGTCCCAGGGCAAAGGGCCCCAGGCACGGGCAGCTCCCGAGACGCGGCCGAGGGCAGAGGGCCACGTCTGCCGAAGGAGAACAGTGCAAAGAACAAAGACAAAAAGACCGGAGAGGCGAGAGACCACGTTCCCGGAGACGGAAGACACAGGAGGACATCCGCGAGGACGGGCACGAGGCGCTTGAAGGCCGCGGAGGAACGTGGAAGGTCAGAGCGAATTCTGAGGTAAAGGTCAGGGCCGAGATGCTCAGAGGAAAAGGTGAGCTTGACATTTGAAGGAGAAGACAGGAGCCAAAGAGCAGCTGGGCGTGGAAGTGGACCCCACGGCCAGCAGGCCCGCGCCTGGGCGGGGGCTGCGACGTCGGGGCCTTAGCGGAGATCGGGACAACACGCCGCCCTGAGCTGACAGCAGCACACGCCGCCTCGCCCCTCATCCAGCGTGCTGGCGTGCAGCGCTGACCCCCAGCCGGCAGCTGTGGTCACTGGCGGCCGCGAGCGTGAGGCTGGCGGCGGTGGGGCTGGACTCGGCCCCGAGCACCCCAGCAAGACACCGCAGGGCCCAGGCCCGCCGCCCGGTCTGAACACCCCCACCCCCCACCCCAAACGCCTTCCGGTGCTTTCTCCACGGCCTTTGAGCTCCTCAGCCAGAGGTGATGTGCCGAGCGCTAGGGCTCAGACCTGTGTCCCTCCCACCCCCGGGAAGGGTGTGGGCACCTCTGGACGGCACAGGTGTCGTAAGAGGCATCACGGGCTTGGTGGCCTGCTGGTGACCCCAGACTGTGAGCCGGGCCAGCAGCACGCGGCACCTCAGAACCACGGTCTCTGCGCGTCTCCAAGGGAATCTCCGGAAGATCAGGTCTATGGGAGGCCTCCCTGGGGCGCAGCACTGCCGAGCCAGAAGACATAGGTGAAGTTCTTTATCTAAAGACTAGATAGTAGAATCCTCAAAGACTAGTCAGAATACTTTTGTGGATTGCTTTGAGGTGTGGAAGGTAAAAGACCTGACTAGTTCTAAAACAGGCGACCTGGATGAATTTCCACATCTAAAGGCCAGACAGTAGGAAGTTTGAGTAATTCTTTAGAAGTTGAATAGAAGGCTGGGTGAGATAGTAGAATGATAGGATTTGGGTTTTCCTCCATCAGAAACAGCCCTTTTGCCTTTATTGATCAGCCAGTTGTCAAGTCACTTTGACTTCAGAGGAATGTCTCAGCCTGGTGCAGTGCTTGCTTGTCAGGGCAGGCAGGCCTTCTGCGGCTGAGGCAATCCAATTGCAAGCTGAAAATTGCTCAGAATATTTTGATATTACGGTTATACAAAAAAGGGAGGTCAGAACATAAGTTAGCAGTGGAAAGTTTGACTTTTCAGAGCTTTTCCCGATCTGGAATCTGTCCGACGATAGACGTTGCATACCTTGTGTCAGGCTTCAACACCAGTTGAATCCCCAGCCCCGAGCTGACCCGCCCGCTACCCCAGCAGTGGACTTGGTCAGCGGGCCTGCTCTGCTCCCTGCTCTGTCTCTGGTGCAGCCTCTCACCGCCCCTGCACCTCCCGCCTGTACCCCAGGAACTTGACTACTGTAGGCCGTGGACTTTCAGTCCTTTGGAGGAAAGGACGGGATGCAAAGAGCAGCTGAGCTTGGAAGTGGACCCCACAGCGAGAAGGCCCGGGCGGTGACGTTGGGGCGCCCGGGCGCCTTCAGCAGTCACGGACTCAGCGGACAATCAGTTGCACTCAGCAACTACCAACTGTACTCTTTCCTTCCTCTTTCATGTATTTTTTTCTATATAAAAAGCTGGCCGTCATAAAAAAATTACCCTCCCTCCTAAGTTAACATGGTTTTTTATTTGTTTTCAGCAAACAAATGAGCTAAAAAGAAGGAGGTGTGCTTCTAGCTGGCTTGTAAGTAATCAGAGGTACAGACGTTTCTTCCAGAATCATCCTACACATGGCAAGCTGGGGGGGGGCGGTTCCTGAAAGCTGGGCCAGGCGGTTTGTCCACTGGACCAGCCTCATCTGTGGCTGACCCACCAGCGTCCTGCCTGCCCCTTACTCCACCACCAGCTGACCATTTCCGCAACAAATGAGGCTTCCTGGCACCGGGGGTCAGTGAAGCCGCCCTCTCGGGCACTGACAGCCTGGTGGAAAACCAACGCCCGACCCGATGGCTTCAGCCGCCCGCTCGCCAGACGACTACAGTTAGACAAACAATAATGAAGTCGTTGCTGGAGGTGAGCATTGGGAAATGCTACTGAGCAAGGCAGAGCAGGTCCTTGCCTTGAGGGCTTGTACTGGGGTGGGAGTCAGGCGGACAGAGGCGGCG